GCTGTCTACAAAGGCTCGTTTCTTGAGTTGGTTGGCACTTTACTAGTGCCCATCCCAGCACAAAAGACCCCTGCCCCATCTAGAGTCCCAGTCTGGAGTCAGCGTGCCAGGAGGAAGCTGAGGCTGGATCTGTCACTGTGTCTGAGCTTCAGGTCCCAGAGTGAGGGCAGGTCATGTTTAGTGTTGCTGTCCTACCCAGGAGGCCATACTGTCAGTGTTACCTGGGCAGTCCTTTTGGCCTTTGAGTATCCCTGTAATGGAAGCCCTACTCTGACCTCCCTTGTCTTCTAGATGATGCCTTCATCAACCCTCATCTGGCCAAGATCTTTGAGCGAGTTCGGCAAAGTGCCGACTTCATGCCACTGAAGCAGATGACGGTGAGGTTTGCATGGGGGTGGGGTGGGGAAATAGAGCTCGACTCTGGGGATAAGGACCAAGCTGGGTATATATCAGGGTACCCTAGATAACTAGGCTGTGCTCCTGTCTTCCATGGCCTCTTTCCAGAAAACCCTCAACAACGACCTGGGCCCCCAGTGGAGGGACAAGCTGGAGTACTTTGAGGAGCGACCCTTTGCGGCTGCCTCCATAGGGCAGGTGCACCTGGCCCGCATGAAGGGTGGCCGTGAGGTGGCCATGAAGATCCAGGTAGATGGCTCTGTGTGGTGTGTGCCTGTCCTCACAGGATTTCAGAGGGTGGGGCCTTCCCATGTCTTCTGAGACACCGTCTTTCTGTCCTTAGCACCTGGGGCTAGGCAAAGTTTGCTAGGTGAAGAGTTAGGGAATGAAGCTTTTCCCAGCAATCTTGGTGCAGGATGAGCTTTAGGGCCTGTGCTGGAACCAGTGTCTTTTTCTGGGGGCAGAATAAGGAGAAATGGAAAGTAGGGTGGAGATAGGTCAGGTCATGGCAACCTTGTTTTAGGATCTGGCCACAAATGGCCAGGGAGCTAATGGGCAGGGACAGCATGCACTACTGCCTCCCCACATACCTCCCTTCCCTCTTTTCAGTACCCTGGTGTGGCTCAGAGCATTAACAGTGACGTCAACAACCTCATGGCTGTGCTGAACATGAGTAACATGCTTCCAGAAGGTCAGGCTGGGCTGCAGGCATGAGGTGGGGGGTTGGGCTCTGGAAATGCCAGGGGAAAGCCCTATAGAGCCCCCTGTTCTCCCTCATACCCTTTCCGGCACAGGCCTGTTCCCTGAGCACCTAATTGATGTACTGAGGCGGGAGCTTGCCCTTGAGTGTGACTACCAGCGGGAAGCTGCCTATGCCAAGAAGTTCAGGTATGGCTCTTTTGGGGCCCCCAGGAGGCTGAGGGGCACTGGTGTGGGCAGGCTCCTCTGTATTTAAGGATGGGTGGTCTTGAAGCCAGGTTGTGGCCACATCCTCCCCACTCAGAGTAGGTTTCCCGAGAGGGCTCTCCACTTGGGGGCTGTGGAGGGTCCAGACTGGCTGTGAGCTCCCCCTCTACACAGGGAGCTGCTGAAGGATCACCCCTTCTTTTATGTGCCTGAAATTGTGGATGAGCTATGCAGTCCCCATGTGCTGACCACGGAGCTAATAACAGGCTTCCCCTTGGACCAGGCAGAAGGGCTGAGCCAGGAAGTCCGGAATGAGGTGCGCTCAAGTTGAGCTGTTGTGCTGAGAACCTAATGGTGTGAACAGAGACCCTAAGCCCTTCCTGGGGAGGTTGGACAAGGGGGTGATGACTGCATCCTTAGGGTGGGATTCAGGAGGCAAAGACTTGTGGGTCACTAGGCAGTCTGTGCTGCCTGACCCAGGTTCCTACCCTGTCCCCAGATCTGCTACAACATTTTGGTGCTGTGCCTGAGGGAGCTGTTTGAGTTCCATGTCATGCAGACTGACCCCAACTGGTCCAATTTCTTTTATGACCCTCAGCAGCACAAGGTAAGCTCCAGCTGAGCCTCACGTGAGGTCTCGGGAGACCTGACCTGCAGTGCTCCTCTTCTCTGCCTTGTGCTCACAAGAGTAGGACAGAAGTGTTGTATCTCCATCTGCAGGTGGCTCTCCTGGACTTTGGGGCAACTCGCGAATATGACCGAACCTTCACTGACCTCTACATTCAGGTAAGACGGGGAATGGGGCCTTGGCCCGTGTATTGCAGAGACTAAGAGTCAATGCTGGGGACTGAAAGTGTGGATCCCAGGCCAAGGGTTGGCAGGCGCACGAGAGGGTCGTGGTAGGGCAGAAGCCTTTCTGTTCTACCCAGGTCATCCGGGCTGCAGCTGACCAGGACAGGGAGGCAGTGCTGAAGAAATCCATAGAGATGAAATTCCTCACTGGCTATGAGGTCAAGGTGAGCAAACCACTCAGACTTATTGGGAGGTCAGGCCCAGCTCCCTGTAGACATGGCTGTCTTTCCTCGGCACCTAAGCATCAGTTGCTCTTGGAGGCCTCCTTATGCCCAGCATTCTGAAAACTCGGCACTCTCTAGGAAGTATGTAGGCTCCAGCAGAACTGTCTGGCTTAAGGTGTACCACGTCGTGTCACCTGCCCACCCTGGCTTCTGAGAGGCAGGGGATAGCTTGCCTGAATGGGCAGAGTACCCTGGCCTTTAGAGCCCCCTCACCCAGCAGCTACCAGGGAGCTGAGCCTCTCTGACCTGGGTTCATACCCTCTGGTAGGAGTGTACCATCACGGTGGGAGTACATTCCAAGCTGACCTCCCGCTTCCTGTGTGCAGCCTTGATTTGTCCCCACCTGGGTGCCCCGTCTCTTCAGTGCTCTGCTGGTGACAGTTACTTCTCATGCGTCCTGCGCCTGGCAGGTGACTACTGCTGTGGCTAGGAACTAGGCAGGTTCCCACAATGCTCTTATCGTGGCCGGGTCCTGCCTACTCTGCGAGATCTATATATAGTTAACTTTGTAAAGACAGAAATGAATGCCGAGGAGTGACGGCTCTGCACTCCCCCGGGTCTCACATGGAGGCTAGTGAGTCTTGTGTCTGCCTGGTTCTTGAGGTTTGGTGTACCTATTACCATTGTTTGATTAAAACTAAAACCACTTCCCCAATATCCTTCAGCCTGAAAACTTGGCTCTAAGATTGGAAACTATGATAGGACCTGGGGCTGGGACTTCTGACCTAGTCACCTCTGCCCTTCCTTTTGATGTAGGCCATGGAGGATGCCCACCTGGATGCCATCCTCATCCTGGGGGAAGCCTTTGCTTCAGAAGAGCCCTTTGACTTTGGCACGCAGAGCACCACTGAGAAGATCCATAACCTGATCCCTATCATGCTGAAGCACCGCCTCATCCCTCCACCGGAGGAGACCTACTCTCTTCACCGCAAGATGGGTGGTTCTTTCCTCATCTGTTCCAAGCTGAAGGCCCGCTTCCCCTGCAAAGCTATGTTTGAGGAAGCCTACAGTAACTACTTCAGGATGAAGTCTGGACTGCAGTAGGCTAGGCATGGGCCAGGCTAGGGGCCGTCCCTCCTTCAGGCTCAGTCAAGCGAGGGAGGATGTTGAGCAGGAGCCGCAGCCTCCACATGTAGGAAGTGAGCAGAGACCTCACTCTTACTTCTGTACAGTCTAGCCATCTCCTCCCTGCTGTGGATGTCCACCAGGAGCACAGAGCAGAGTAAGACTAAAGCCGGCCTAGCTACCTATGGGGTCTAGTTGGCCATGTAGAATGAAGCTTTGTGTGTTTCTGGGTGAGCTTGTGTCCCTGCCCTTTGCCACCCCAGCCTGTGGCCTGGAGCTAGCCCAGGACAGTATGGCAGCCACCCTAGCTGGGTCTCAGCATGGACACCAGATCTTTCTCAAGAGCAAAGCAGGGCTGTCACTGGAGGAGCAGCAGGCTCCAGCATGTTTCAGAGAGGTAGTTAGTAGTCCGCACCAGGGGATCAACACAGGCTCTGTTTGTTTGTATGTCTTGTAATCACACATTCACACCCTCTTGTTCAATAAAGAAGTGTGTTGGGGACTACTATTTCCTGTGTGTTCTGGGAATCCTGGGAATGAGGTGGCCCCATTGGGTGGTGGACTTTACTTATAAAGGTCTGTGATCCAAACATCTGTTATTCTTGGTAAGGACAGAATGTGGCAATATAGGCCACCATTCATGTCTTTGCATTCTTTGCATTCATGTCTCTGACCTCAGGGCTTCATTGGCTCTGGGGGTTGAGCCTAATGCCTTACAGATGTGAAGTGAATGATCTACCACTGAGTTGGACCCTCAGCCCTTTTACTTTTGAGACAGAATCTCAATAAATTGCTCAGGCAGTCCTTGAACTTGTAATCCTCTTGCTTAGCCTCCCAAGTAGTTAGGATCACAAGTTTGAGCCACCAGGATTCTTAGGTATTTTATAGAAAACAAGCTTTTGGGGTTAGAGGCTATAGAACAGCAGGCACTAAGAAATGAGACTAGGACTTGGGACAGGAACAGTGTGCCCTTAAACTTCATGCTAAGTCTGTCCTGGCTAGGGACCTGTCACCCCTACAGCAAACGGCCCACTGTGCCTCTTAAGAAGCTTTACTGGAATGTGGTGTTCTTGTCTGTGTGTCACAGACCGTTTCTCTGGGAAGCTGGCCAAGTCCTGGTGACTTGTACATCTGCAAGAGTCCCAGTGTCTAGGAGAGGTCTGAGTGACTTCAGTTGCAGTTTTGGCATTCTTGGTAAGATTTTACCCAGCCTTACCTGTGTGCAAGCTTCGTCATTCTAACGCACCAGAACATGGATCCAGTGCTTCTAAGCGGCTGCTTACCACAGGTAGCAATCAAGTTGCTTCCAGCTTTATATTACAGACAACCTTGAGTTTTAAACAATGACTGAGACATTCTTATTAGAAGAAAGGAGCTGAACACTTCCAGGCATTCTTACCTGAGCTCTGAGGGCAACTTAAAAAGTCCTGGATTAAACCCCAGGGGGGAACTGACCTGTGTCCTCTCGGTATATAAAGAAGAGGCCCGGAGTAGGGCAGCAAGCCAGGAAGTCCTCATACTCTTTACATAGAGAAAAAAAGACAAAATACTCAATCCTAACAGTTTCTTATTTTATTGCAGTACATCAAAGTCTGGTTAATTAGGTGACACCAACATAAAATATTGGTGAGAAATTCTTTGTTACATTTTTGACTATCCCACCTTAAATAATTCTGTGCAAAAGAATCCACGTCATAGTCGGTAGCAGACACTCTCTCAGGAAGTTCCCTAAGACATCAAAGGATGAAACCAAACCAAATGAGTAATAAGAGGCCAAAGCAGTGCCTTCCCTTCCACGCACACACTGGTCAGCATCATAGTCTAAACAAAAATGATTGCACCCAGGCCATGCAAAACTGTACAATAATATTACAGTGAGAAAAAAATTCTAAAAATTTTAAAATAAATGATATTATACTATCAAATAAAAAGGCAGGTCATTTTGCTTTCAATGGCATGGAGGCTGACTGGTGGTAGCCTCCTAAAACTGTAGTAGGGCCCTGTGTAAGCTGTCCCTAGGCAGCAGACACACTGACTGCAGCAGGGCTCCAGAGGGCACTCTGAACTTGCAAACACTAAAGGTTTCAATGAGGAATGAGCCACGAAGGATAACGTGAGACAGATTGGAAAGGGGCAGGGCTGGGCCAGGTAGAACTGGAAAGGGCCAGTGGTTTGGACAAAGTATGCCCTGCAGTACTTGTGTGTGGTGGTGGCGGGGGGCAGGGGCAAGGTGGGGAAGGGGTGTCAGCTAGGTCTATTGAGCTGGCAGAATTCAATTTGTGGTCACTGCCAAGGCTGCTTGTGGGCTGTTGCATCTGGGAGAGGACATCTGCCCCTCTGCTCTGGCTTTTTTTTTTTTTTTTTTAATGATACCTGAGGTTCCACACAAGCCAGCTAGCTTTCTTAGAAATAGATGTGATTACTATGTAACAAAATGACAGGAGTCTAAGAGAAGAGGCTAAAGGAAGGGCTGATGGGAATGATAGGAATTCAGACACTCCCTTTAAGCTTGGCTGTAGGAAATCGCTGGAAAGCCAAAGAGGCCATTTGTAGTTATCCCCCTCAGTCTTAAAGCTGTGCTCACTGGGAAAGAAGGCAAATGGCTAAGCACAGGGAGTGTGCACACAGATAAATATATTTTAAGTGAAGCCTGCTTTAGCAATCATTGTCAGGAAAGCTTGTTTTTGGCAAAAAACAAAACAAAATAAAACAAAATGTAATACATTTGTATACCCACCTAAAACTCACATTAACAAATTAGCCAGAATTCAAGGGCCAATAAATAGCAAACAGGCTGGACATAGCACCAAGTACTAACGCATAGACACTATGCCAGAAATGGCTTTGATGCCATTTTTTTTTTCCACTTAAGAGATCAATTCCTGCTGCTGTACACTTTCAAATACCTTGCACGGGTTAGGGAGAGTGATCTCAAGCAGGGCCACAGGCCTTTGCTCTGGTCTGTTATCCACTGCTCTGAGGGACCTTTGTTTCTGCTCCTGGAAACCTGTCCATCATCCTCCTCCACAGCTTCTGATGGAACACTCTTCATGTAAGGCTGGGGTAAGTCCAGTAAGACAGTGGTTATTAGGAGAACCCCACCCCGTTCTGGGCCAGTCCACAGGGAACCAGGGGGTAGAGCTTGGGTGGGACTCAAAAAGGGCTCTTTTACAAACAAGCACCTGTAGGCAACAAAAATCCACAACTGGTTGTCAAAGCTACAAACCAAAGGCTCAGGGTGAGTCCTGTCAGTGTTCTCCCTGGGAAGGAGAGGGAAGGGCGGGCAGAGGGGAGGGGAGCCAGGTCTATCAAGGCAATCTGCCAAGTCCAGGCAGATACAACAATAAGGCTCTGACCAAACTCAAGATCTGATCCTTATTTTTGGATGCACACAAATATACTTTTCCAAAGCAAAGTGATTCAGATTAGAACAGAGCAAGGCCCATCCAAAACAAAATGTACTCATGTCTGAGCCAGTGGAAAATCTAGATGTCAAAGCTGTTAAACAGACCCTATCAGAAGTGCCTCCATCACCATCCCTGCCCCTCCCCAACTGTAACCTCCTCCATAAGGCAGCACACCTCAGGAATCTGTGCCAAGTGTCAGCATGCCAGGCAGGTTAATAATAATCCAGAAATTATTTTAGGTGTGTTTAAAGTGGGGAGAAACAGTGGTTTTTTTTCAACCCAAAAGAGGTAAAAACAAAGAGTGGCAGGGCCTCTTTATTTGCATGGGATATTATAGTTTCCATCTTTTCTTTGTGTTCTTAGGTGGTGAAACACATGGGCAGAGATGAGTTCTGGTCTCCATCTTGCTTCCTTAGACAAGTACAGCAGCAGATATCCAGAGTGGAAGCTGGCCGACAATCCACGGCAGCCAGCACACCTTGGACCCATGCACAGACTCCACAGTCCCCTCCAGTGGGAAGGCATATTTGGTCAAGGCCGTTCAAGCCCATGCTTCTGAGGTTTCACATGACTTAGTAGGAAGAAAGAAACCCTTTCCCCAGGAGTGTTTAGAGGAAGTTTACAACTACCCTTAACCAAACAGGCTCCCATTGGGAAACTGTGCCCAGTCCAAACAGACTCACTGCAACCTAGGGAGGGACAGGATTTAGCCAGGACAAAATAGGCTACACAAACCATTCGATGACCTTCAGAAGCCATGACTGTGCCCTTTATGATGGGAAGGGTCAAAAGATGACAGAATAGTCTTTCACATTCATCTGTGCGATATATCAAAATATAGTAAGGGGACATGTTCAAATCCATCACTAAAGAAGGAAATGCCCTGGGAGGCAGGTGAGTGTGTCTCTGTGCCCCCTGTGGTGTCCAGATCACACCCCATCAATGGCACTAATCTCTACACATTCCTTACATTTCCATAGGACCGCAGCCTGCCCACAGCTTGAGAACAGACACCACGGGGGTTGGGAGAGGGGACCTGACTTCTGCTCTCTTTACAAATGTCACTTGAGGCCTTTCTACCCTGTATATGACTTAGCTGGCAAACAGACAAGAAACAACACATTTTTTTTTAAATTAAATGATCTTTCTTATATACGCATCCATCTTTCATCAAACACAAGATGCTTCTTTGACTATATACATTCAGTATTTAACTTCTACATTTATGTATTTATTTAAACTCTGTATTGTAGTAAAATATGCATTGTTTTAAGTCGTGAGGATTTATTTCCTGGCAACAGTCGGGCTGACGCTCATGGAGGCTGCTGGGCGCTACGTGAGGACTACGGTGAGAACACAACCTGTCTACTCTTAGCGCTGCGTCTGCGCAGTCTGTCTACAAAGCTACCTGGAGGGGGAGGGTAAAGCGGGCCTGGCTGCGGAGGAATCCTTATTGCAGCAGTGCTAAGGTGATGCTGCTGCCAGGCACGTTGTCGGGGTACAGAGTCCCTTGCCTGTGGCCACCACAGTCCTGGGCTCATGGATCCCAGCTCCCGCGGTCTGTGCTCTCCAGAGAGAGGCTCTTGGTCTTTCGGGGTGAAACAGGGCTTGGGGGACTGCTCAAGTTGGAGCTGTTGGAAGCTGTGGAATGCCTCGGCGAATCAGAGTCCTGTAAAACAAGGCCCTAGTGAGAAATTTGAGTGACAACATGGAGGACACTCGCTGCCCAAGGCCCCCACTAGTACCCACACTCCCACCTATGGGCTTCTCTCTTATCAGCAGACAGACCCTCTGTGAGATGACCAGAGGACACACATACACATAACAAGGACGGGGTCCTTTCACTAGAAAGCAATCAGAAGCTTAGAGCTTCTGGGAAGCCGTGGTTTGCACCCATGTGACAGTCCTTGCTGACCCTTCGGAGGCATATGCAAAGGTGGTAGGATCATCCCGGACAACGTACTGGCCTTACGCATGCAGCTGCCATCCACGGCCCATTTACCTCTCCGTCATAGTCCCTCGCAGGGGCGTCACTTCCTTGGTCCATACCTCCTGATGATAAAGAGCCCTCTGAGGGAGAGGGCATTGGCTGTCGCTTCGTGTTGTAGCTTCCTCCAGAGAATTCCCTCTTCAGCGCACTGCCATTCTGGGCTGATGACCCTGTAAGACATCGTTTGGGAAAAGCTATGTACTTGGAAGAGGCCACACCTATATAAAAAAGTACAGGCTTCCAAGATGACAAGGCATTCCCCCAATAGGACAGTAAGCCCAGTGCTGAAGGTTGTTTCTGTCGCCCTCTGGCTGTAGGACTGCTGCTGTTTGGACAGCAGACCCCAGGTCATATAAAGCCCACAAAATCTTTCCAGGGCTACCTGCCACTAGCTGCCTTAGGTGTCTCCATGGGGCTCTCTCAGTATGCCATGCTACAGACATACTGGGCCTTCTTCTAACAGAAGGGGCATCTCTGCCTAGCTGGAACTCACAGCAGGCTCCTTAGAAACCGGCTGCATTCCCAGCACCAGCCAAGCATCCCCAAACACTACCTTTCAGAAACTCTCACAGGAAACAAAGGAAACAGGCATACTCTTTCTTCACAGCCCAGGAGCAACAAACAGTGTACTCCAATGCTTTGATCTTAGAGAGAGGACACACAGCAAGGTGACCAGCAGCACTGACAGCAAGAAAAGAGCAGACAGGAACCTCTGCAAACTTGAGGAATATTGTTAGAGCCCATTCAAGTGTTCTCTATGGTCCTCACCAGTTTTTAGTTTTTGCTTAAGAAAACTTAGTATTTTTACCAAGTGTCAGTAATAGTCAAGGAGACTGTAAGTTACAGATAGACTGTTCCAATATTTTGCTGATTTTATAAATGCCTTTTACATTAAGAATCTGACAAAAATGCCACCAGATGACTGCATGCTGAGCTATGCAACCGTGTGGTTATAGGGTTCGGAAAGACACTGAGTGGAAGCCCACCTGCTAGACTATCCTCTATACCCCCACGGGCCTTCCCTCCCTGGGGCTAAGCCCCTCACAGCAGTCACCTCATGGCCCCCTTCCAGAGACTGCCGTGCTGCTTGTAGATGGGGGTTCTAGAGGTACAGCACCTAGCTCTTTGCCAGATTCACTAGACCCAAATTCTTGACTCAGGTATCCTGATGGCCCTGATGACTCCCACTTCCGAGTGCTGCCCTCACAGCATGTCACTCCCCTCCAGTCACCAAAGTAGTCACTGGCCCTACCCAGTTCTGACCTGGAGGGAAATTCTTCTGGAAATACACTCTTTACTCTGACATAGGTCTTTGGTCTCCCTGGAGTACATCCCTAATGGAAGGCAGTCATTTTTATTTGATTTCCCTAATTCCTAGTTGAGTGTTCAGTTGCCGTCACTTCTCACTCTGAATAGCAAATCCAAACCAGAAGCCTTCCACACCTCTTTTCTTTGTGTCTTAACTAGGTTGTTTTGCCTTCCTCGGTCTCCATTTCTCTCCCCTATGCATGAGGAAAAAGACCTTGCCTTATGGTTTCTCTGAGAATTCACTGCATGAAGAACGGCACGAAAGCCAGAAGGGTGAAAAAGGCCTTCCTGCATTCCTGTTCCTAGTCTCATCCCACCATCGCTTATCAACAACAGAGAACTCAAATTCGCCCTAGGGATAAATCTACTTAAATTTATTTTTATTTGTGTATATGTGTCTCATCCTAGTCCCATCATTACCCACAATCCTAACTAACAAATCCAAAGTCCCTGAAAGAAAAGTGGGTTTTTGTTTAAGTTCCATGCAAATTCATGTAATGACAAAGGCTCACTGGGAGGGACTGGAGCCACTGTTGGGCTTCATAAAGGCTACATTTATCATAAATATGTAGTATGAATGGTCTGGCCAGAATTTTATTGCATAAATTAATATTACTGTTTGCAGTTCTGGAGAATGAACTTGGTTCTACCTGTTTGGAGCAAGAGTAATAGGCACACACAACAGGAAGGCTGGTTAGTCTACTGTAGCTCTCAGTCTGCTGACCTGGAGCTACAGCTTCAGGCCACCAGCAGTCATCTTGCTTCCACACATGCAAAGGTTAGCACAGGGCCTGCCATTTTCCCAACTGGCTGGATTTTGCATTGTGATTGACATTGCATACTGGCTCAGGGTGATTTTAAGGGATGACAGCAAATTAAATGCTCAACTGCTGCAAACACACTGATGACTCCTGAAAATGCTCTTTCATCTGAGGACACTTCCCCAGGCAGCACCTCTCTGTGTAGTCAGACATGTAGCCCCTCCCATGAAGAGACAGCAGACATGTACTGGGTACAGTGATGAGCAGCATGCACACTGGTGTCCCTGTGATTATGTCACACAGTGATATCACAGCAGCATGTACACTGGTGGTCCCTGTGATTATGTCACATAGTGACATCACAGCAGCATGCACACTGGTGTCCCTGTGATTATGTCACATAGTGACATCACAGCTGTTTTCAGGAAACTGTCTCCAAGACACAGAAACAAGAGCTAGATTCTCCAGTCACAGGAGAGTGGCTTTGAGTTGACTGCAGCTCTATGAAGGAGCCTAAACCATTCTGACTTGCAGAAACCATGCTGAGAAAATAAGCTAGTGCGTGCTGTGGTGTCTGTCTCATCTTTCTGTCTCCCTGCCCTCTCCCTCTTCTCTTCCTCACCTCCCCCAACCTTTCCTGTCAGGGTCTCCTTACGTGGCCCAGATCGAACCCTTGCTAGTCTCTTGCTTCAGCCCTGTGCTGATGACTATTTGGTGCTTCTGAGATGTGGGGCAGTTTGCTATGCTGTAAGTAATAGTGAATACAGCACCACTGAACCTAATGATGCCTGGAAACAGGACAGGTTCAGAAATCAATGTTTACCGATTAAACAACAAACGTATCAGGACAATCCAAGCATACAGAGCAACAAATATATTTTCTGACTGAAAGACTTTTGCATAGGAAAGTGGATTCAATATAATGAGCTTCTCTCAGCTATCAGTGGTTTGGGAGTGAAGAAAGGCTTTGTTGGGGTCCCAGATGTCATCTACAGATGGTGTCTGCTGTATGCTCAAGGCTGATGTCACAGTCCATATATAACCCCATCACAGAACGACCACAGCCCATAATGCACTCTACATTGCATACTCTTATATGCAATACTCTTATGTACTCTACTGTACATACTCTTATACACTTAGGCATGCTACTGTGAGCATCAGTGTACACTTCCATTCAGGTAGACAAGGGTCCCCATCAACTCTAGATGGAAATTGTTCCTGGGCAAGCAGCTCATCTGTCCAAGGGACACATTTTCTTTGTGGTCTCACCTCCTCAGTTCTACTTTTACCTCCCCGCTGTGATCACTTGGCAAAGTTTCTTCCCATCTGACCACTTACGTGCAGACAGGCCACTGCTAGCACTCATGGAGCGGCCTGGTTCAGGGCGGGACTTGGTGATGGAGGGAATACTGACGGAGCCACTGAATACTGTCCGGCTTTCCTGAGGACGTGGGTTCTAGAACACAAGAGAGGCATAGTCTTCAGTGGGGAAGACACAGTCTTGTGCAGATATTCTGCCTTTCTCTCTGATTGTCAAGACATGAAGTGATCTTGAACAGGGTGATACAGGTAGGGAGCAACAGAGACCCAATATTTCTCACCAGCAGGACTTTGAAGCCCTGACATGAGATGAATCTCACCCCACCAAGGAGTACTCACCAATAAGTAGTTTTTTTTTTGGTTGTGAAAATGTTATATGGTTAGCTAAGAGTGGAGTACAGAATTACATGGACATTTGCAGATAATGGAAACATCTTTGACTACAGATGAGATTATTTACTTACAAAACCTGAATAAGCCCATTTAGAGAGGAGTCAATTAAACTTATACTCTTGATAAAAGTGTCTTGCTGACACCATGTGTCATCTGTATGACCATGCCCCAGTTGTTCAGAATTTTTCTAGTTCTGTCCATGAAACCGCAAGCTGCACATCATTAATGGAGTGACGCCTGTGCCTGGGGTAGCAGTGGAAACTGTCCTGCTCAGAGCTTCAGGCTAGAAGGAGGGGGTGAAGGGGTGAAGGGCACATCAGAGTCCAGAGAGTGTAGACACTTGAATATACACTCTAAATCTTAGAGTAGGCAAACCACATGGCCATGTTACTAACTTCTTTCTTCACTTACAAAGCTTTCTCCTGTGTGGGCATGGTCCCAAATTCTTGCAAATGTTTTCTGAGGTAAAGGGTCTATATAGTCAGTCTCAGTCTCTCTCTCTCCTTTTCTCTCTCCCTCTTTCTCTTTCTCTTTCATTGTGTTGCTTCTCCTATGTTTGTTCATGAGGTAAAGATGGAGGCAGCTTGGAGACTGGTGAGCTGAGGCCAGGAAGTGAAACAAAGCATAACCTGTCTACACTATGGAGCCCTTAGTGTGTTCAGTACTGAGGCTGACATGTGCCTCATGGATTTCTGGGAATCACAGTGGTCACATCTGCAGGAGTCAGGCAGTTGCCCTGTTCTACTATGTGGCTCTACTGCCCTGACCTAATAATGATGCACATGGCCCACTTGTGAGCACCAGTGTCAATAACTTCCTCTTTAATTATATAAAAATTCTTCTGGAAGGGATGGGCACGGATCTTACATGCATTAGGCAAGATGCTGGGAATATACACAGAAACAGCTACTTTAAAAAGTAGTCCAAATGTCAAAGCCTGTGACTTTCCTAAAGAACGTATTTGTTAAGAAAAGCAGGTCTGACAGGACTAGGATGTGCTTCTTCCCTGATATTTATGTAGTGTTAAGCTTCTTATTTCAGAACCTGGGAATCTTTGTCTCCTTTACGTGTGTGTGTGTGCACACGTAGGTACATGCATACCAATACATATATAGAGGTCAGGGGACAACACTGTGGAGTTGTTTCTCTCCATCCACCACATGGGCCCTGGGACTGAACTCAGGACGGCAGGCTTGGCTGCAGGCTCCCTCAGCCACCTGGTCATTTCACTCCCACTTTCTCGTTTCTACACTCAGCAAATCTCATGATGGTCAAGGCCACTAAGACTAATCAAAAATATATTAACCAGCCAGCAGTTTTCCCAGATACTACTAACAATTTGCTGTTTCCTTCCCACATTTTCTTTTAAATGTTTATATATATATATACTTGTGGTGGTGGTGGTGGTGGTGTGTGTGTGTGTGTGTGCGTGCATGTGTATGTTCATGTACAGAGATCAGGTGGTAACCTTCAGGCTCCAGCACTTAAAATAAGTACTAAAGATATTTATTGGATAGACGAATGGATTATATCTGCAACCCTCATTTCATGTTTCAGGCATCAGATTAATTCAACTGGTAATTAATAAATTTCAGATTATGAGCCTCTCCATAGAAGATACTGTGCTTTAAAGTTCATACTGATTTGTGTACATTTGTGTATAAGTTTTAAAGACACAGAATTCACTTTATATAATTTGGGAAGAATAATATTCTTTGGGAACCAATTAATAAAATGGTATCGATTCTTACATTAAAAAAACTGCATGCATGTCTGTAAGCATATGCATGCCACTGTGGCTGGCCAGAGGACAGACAACTTTTGCGAGTTGGTGCTCTCCTTCACTGTAGGTTCTGGGGATTAAACCCCTATGGTCAGGCTTGGTGGCAAGCATTTTACCCACTGAGTCATGATTCAGACCCCCAATTCTTCTAATTCTTTCTAAGTTGACCCATGTGCTAACACAGTTGTCTCTTCTACACTATGCCAAAGATCAAACAATTTAAAACAAGATCTAAGAAATCAGGCAGAAACAAGAAAGAAGCAAAAAAGGAAATCTAGGAGCGAGTGTGGCTAAATATTTTTGGTTGTTAATAAGGTCTAGAACGAGACACTCACTTCCCAGTTACCATGTGACTATGATACTTGCCCCCCAAAGGGTGATGACTCTGGAGTCTGCAGCACAGGGCTTTCCCACACACCTGAAAGCCCGAGGGAAGGTCACAGCAAACAATTCAAACAATGCCATCCAAAGGCAACCTCAAGCTGAAAGCTGGCTGGCTAACTAGTCCCCAATTCAACATTGCTATTTTGGTCCCTATATTAGATCTGCAAAGTCCATGTAATTCTGTGTGTTATTTGTTTAAAGAAAATATTTTGCCTTAAATATTTTTATCCAAAAAAAAATTAAAAGAAAGCCAAGAGAGTTAAAGGCAGCAGCTTAGCATCTGCACACACAGGAACAACCTTATGAGATACAGCAAGCATCGCCAAGAGGGGCTCCTTGGAGACAGAACTGCCAGAGTCAAGCTGCACTTCAAATCTCAGGGGTTTGCTGTTCTTTTCCCTAAAAAAGCCTAGCCTAGAACAAAGGACTGAGAAAAAGCTTCTAAAATATGCCAGCAACTAAGACTGAAAACTAAAATACTAAATCATTTAGTCAAATGATACAAATTTCAGTATAACCTAACAAGAAACCCAACTTTTTGGACTTTCTAGTTAAAACTATGCTTAAAAATAGGGCAAACTCCCGCTGATGGGCACTATGCAGCCCAGCTATGGCAAGCAGTTTCTTTTACAGGAAGGTCCTGACTGACTGTGGATTCCTTGGAATCCTGCTTCCTGCTGCCAAGCAAACTAAGGCTGATTTTATTACAGTAATTCTGACAAGTAAGACATTCAGTTGGTATTATAATTTAATGTTGGTGACATTTAAAACATAATTTAAAGTAATTTAATAATACAAACAAAAATAAGCTTTTAATTCTCTAATTTTCTTACTGGAAAATAGCTATATTACAAATTTAAAAAATTGCTCTTACTATTTTACTAACCTGGGGGAATTATAGGAAATAAGCTTGCATGGTATAACTAAAATATTTTAATATCCATAAAACTAACTTCCTTTGAAGCATACACATTACTTGAGAAAATAGATACTCTGCTTAACAGCCATGTCATGCATGGCCAATGGTAACGAAGGTGTGGGGTTGAATGAAAGGACCAGCAGGTGCCAGACTTCTTCAGGGGTAGCAGCTTTTTTTTTTTTTTAAATTTTTCTTATCTTGGGTCTTGGTTGCAATTAAATATATAGCAACAACTCAATGACTTAAGCTTTAGAACTTTTTATGCTACTTACTCAGTATCTATACCATTACTTTGGAGACTTCTGGTAGGTCTATAGATAAACTCCACGCAGACCTTAATCTCATCCCTGAACTCAAGTGGTTACAAGTAAAGAGCTGTTAAACAATTCAGAAATTCAGGAAGCCCTTTTTTGTTTGTTTTAAAAAAATAAAGATTTAGCTGGGCTGTTTTTGTTTGTTTTTGTTTTAACATGGTATCCCGAATGGAAAACCCCACACTGGGAAAACTATCCCACAAAGATCATACTCTAAAGCTGTTTCAGAAGTAATACAGAATCCTTTACTCCTCCACATTTCCCCCAGAAGAAGAAACAAGACAGACTGAGAAGAGGAGGAAGAGGAGGAAGAGGAGGAAGAGGATAAACAGGAAAAGACAAAAAAGTAGTTGAAGCTGGCAGCTGAGGAGGAAAGGGCAGCCATTCCCCAAGGCACCCTCTCAGTGTTAGCAAACGCACACCAGGTTAGCGATGATTAGCCCCGGACTCAGCCGTTCATACCCTCAGAGTCACAGAGTGTGGTGTACCAGGGGCAGAGCGCAGGGACGGGGGGTACTCAGGGTTTATGCAATCAGGAGAGAGAAACTGTTCAGCAGAATTGACAGTCATGTGATAGATGTGCTCAAAGTTGCTCGGAGAGGAGATCAGACCGGAGTGGTGATGAGGGGATGGATAAGGGAAACCTGGCTATCAAAAACAAAGAAGGAAGAAAAAACGGTGTAAGGTGATGCTAATGGATCAGGGTGAGTGACACCAGACAACACGCACACAAAGAACGAGGCAGTGTCTCTCTCAGAACTCCCAGGAAAATTCTTTCAGACCTCAGAAAGTCAAATTCTGTAATCAGTTACTCAAAACAGCTGATTTTCAAAAGATCACTTGATGATAACATCATTCCCATTTTACCAGTTGAGTGAGTAGCAGCACGGCTTCCAGAGATCCAAGGAGCTTTCAGAATCTTCAGATTTTCTTACGTGATACAACAAAAGCATTGCAAAAGTCTACACAAAACACCAAGTACAGAAACAGCAAGAGACAGCTAAAAGGACAAGGGAACCTTAAATTGTTTCTAACTAGAAAGGTACAAACCTGCTTCCTCAGACTCTATAGCCATTCCCAGTTCTGAATTTATCGGCCTATGATATACCCTGACTTTTAGTGATATTATTTCCCTATAATAAAGGCAGTGAGAATTGTGGGGTACACTATTTCTGGTTCGCCTGTAAGCAACCCAGCTCACCTCCATTTACATACCCCAGAGAACAAGCTTGTCTCCAACAGGGGAAAATTCTGCCTTTGAATGTTCGAGTATGGTTTTTTAAAGGCAAATAACATAATGATGGAGTTGCAGAAAAAAGTCTGAAGAGAAGAATTTACATCTTCTGATAAATATTGGGCAATGTCACTTAGTAGGCCAGCCATTTCCTACCGTTCTTGAAGAACAGTTGTTTCCAGAACACACCATTCCTTAACTATAGGGAGACTAAAAGAGGAACTTAAGAGCATGCCTTATTGAATAAAATATGGATCATCCAGATGAGATAGATGCTAAAAAAAAAATGCCCAGAACTTACCTAAGCCTAAAAGAAAAGCTTCTCTATATATGACAGTGCTTTTACTTTAGAAATGTGAATAAAATCAGTATTTTCTAAGGCTGTTTTCAAAAAGAAAAAATATTGACCTATATCTCTATCCATTTCTATCCATCCATCCGTCTGTCTGTCCATTGATTCCCTCTATCTTTGACTTTAAGAAACAAAAGTATCTTTTTGGAGGGGAAGGTGCTAAGGTGCTATGGACTGAGCCCAGCCCCTATGCATACAATATCAAGGAAGCACTTTACCACTGAACTGCACCCCCAGTTCAAGAATAAAAATTACTTCTTAAAGATGCTATTGAGCTCAGTATGCTGAGTCATTAAGAATTTGAGAAACAGGTACCATGCACTGTGCTAGGGAGATGGTGACCAACACTATGGTGACAAGTTACTCTCACATTAGGTTGGAAAAACAGTTCCTGTATTTCCAGCAACCACTTAAAAACAACAGAAACCATAGGTAGATAAATGGTAAGGAAGGTTCAAGGAAACTAATGCAGTATATCTTCTAAGACTCACATATTACTTTACGTTAATTGTTTTTCTTCTCTCCACTCACTAGAACAGAAACAGGAGGTATAAATCTGATACAAGAAGCAAGAAAGTGACTCTTCCAAGCTTTCCTGTCCTTTCCATACTTAAGACGGAAGTGATCTAATTTCAGGATATTTGGCACAAATGAACAGTTACATTTCCAAAGATCCTTTAAAAACTTTCTAAGGTCTTCAGTATTTCACAGGAATATGACAGTGATTTGAATACAATGAGATATGAAAACATCTGGAGTACATGTTCTTTGCACAGATGGTAACATGGCTTTGGGACCTAAAAGCTCTTACATATGATACTAGATCAATGTAATTCATCCTTTTTGGGGGAGGGATAATTCATAATGCCATCTAAGTGGAAAGAACATACTGAAATGAGACCACATTAAAATACAAGCTCTCTGTCACATGTGAGAGCACTCTTACAGACATGCACAGTGCACGGTGTTTAACAGTGTCTACGTATAGATACGCATGGTCCTGGGCACAAAGTAAGTGATTAAACAGATGATTTAATCTGTTTAAACAGAGAGCTAGGTTATGAATCCTTTGCATGTGAAATGAGCAAAGAAAAGTCACATGGAAATAACAGGAAACAAACAGGAATTTGGACACAGGAAATCTCTGATGCCTACTATATGTGCAGATGAAGAAACAGCTTCATAAACGTTCATCTTCCTGAACTATAATAGTGTTTATTTTACATAATAAGAAAAATTAAAGAAAAGAAGACACATTTAAAATGACTGAACTGGCAGGGATAAAGGACATCCGGGGTGGGGGTTGGGGACGGTGGCTGTGGAGTTAACAAAATCAGGGGACAATAAATACCCAAAACTAAGTAGTCTAATTATAATCAGTAGTCAGCATGGAAGGTCACATAGATGGGGCCAGTTGGGGATGAGTGGCAAACATCATCTGAAATTGCTTTGGTTAAGAGTAAAAAATCTTTTCAACAACAACAACAAAACATAACTTTCTGGTGAACATGGTGATTGGTACCTGGTGCACCCAGAAGGCTGAGGCAGGGAAGATAGGCTCAAAATTGAGGCTAGCCTAGGCTACACAGAACATTCAAGATCAGTCAGGGCCACCTAAGGAATACTCCTTCTCAAAACAAACAAGATTTCTTTGAAGTATTAAGAGAGGGAAAGGAAGAAGAAATGCAGTTAGGCTGGGAATGGTGGTACATGGTGGCACATGCCTGTGTTCCCAGCACCCAAGAGGCAGAGGCAGTTGAGTCTCTTTTGAGTTTAAAGACAGCTTGGTCTTCAAAGAGTGTTTCAGGTTAGCCATGGCTACACAGTAAGACCTTGACTCAAAAATCAAAACCAAAACCAAGAATAAAAACTTCAAACAAAAAGAAGTGAAGCTGAGGGGATACTTTGAGGTTTCTTACAATATTTGAACTGCTAATTTAGAATCCAAGGTCCATGCTCCATTGTATGTAAAGGTTGGAAAGACCTTCCGAGGAGAAACAACTCTTCACCTGGTGCAATCCTAAGCAGAATAACACGAAATCTTGATATTATTTCACCTTAAGGAAAGTATTACAATGTAAGGGGTACAACAGAATTTCTATGAAAAATTTCTATAATTTCTGTGATTATGTATTTTACATAAAAATATGGTTAAACCTTTCTGGGTGTAGCGGAATGTGACAGTGAAAGCCGACATTTGAATTGTAAAGGTTGGTACCTGTAAAAGCCTCACTACTATGGAACCAACTTTGATTTAGCTGGCAAGCTAGTCTGCAACACATTTATGTGTCTGAAGTTAGTTATCTCTCTACTCCTCAGTAATGCTAACTACACATTTATGAAAAAAAATCTATCAAAAGTTCAAAAAGTTCAATGAAAACAAGTACACTGCACTTGATCTTCCACACACAAGCTGTGAATACAGTCACATTTAACTGTTTGTTATAATTTAAAGAAATTCTCTCCACTAAAACATTTTGTACTTGGCCCTGTAACTTTCACACAGGAAAATAAAGTAGCAAGAACAGTAACAACAGAGGCTTGGATCTTGGGACTGTGCTGTGTGCTGCTAAGACACGAGCATGAGCAGTGAGGACTTTGGAGCAATGTTAGGAGGGGGAAAAGAAGACGCTTGAGCTCTCACTCCGGGTGGAAGTTGAAGCAGAATAGCTTATAAACACGGCAGCACACGCAGCAGCTCTGCTGTCTAATGTGCTTGGCCTATATAAAGATCACCGTGATCTTGTTTGTGCACTCTTTATATTCATTCAGCACAACTAATAGAAATCTAGATCCCTAAGGGTGGCTACTGTCAATGATTTATTCTGCCATGGCTGCTATCACTGGCATCACCATCATCATCATCATCTTAAGATGAAGAAGCAGTAAGAAAGCACGCCATGTGACTCTGATATTTACAACCAAGTATTTTGGCTAAAATGAATGTAGATTCATTTTTTTTTCTTCCCAGGAAATAAGCGAAAAGCTCCCTTTATAACCTAACTTCCACACCAGAGTTTGCACTACAGTCACATTTTATCACTTCTCTCCTTGCTTCTACCACTGGTGTTGCTAAAGAGATTAACACAGACGTCCTTAGGAGGAGATTAGGATCAATACTCATAGTCCTCTCTGAAACTGCCATAAGATAGAAATTATTCTTAAAATTCTTTGCCCAATTTAGCTGCTATCCCCACTGACCAAAGGGTTATACTCCATTTTAGTAGTTTGCTAGGGGTGTGTGACACTGACATTTTAAGAGCAAATAGGCCTGGATAATTTGCTAATTCCACTAGTAATTTTAACCTCAGCATAATGGGTCTGTGGATGCAATCTTCATGTTGTTAAAATACAACAATCTTCCTATGTTATATTTCATTTTACATATAATTGTCCAGGAAACATGCTTGAATTGGAGCAAAGGAACAAGATTTAATTGCACAGTTAGCTGAGAGGTGTGACTATGAATGACGAAGCCCATGTAGACTTCTGCAGAGAAAAACACTCACGTATCTGTATTGAACTGAGTAAAATCTTACGCTTTGGTAACTGCATCTGGGATTTGTGATAGAACCTTTTCAAATATGGCTGTTTCTCCCACTAACAACAGTAAACTTGTATTAGAAAAATGGGGAACTTTTCTAGGGTAAGAAACCAATTAAGAACTTTTGTTTTGGGTTTTGATAGATTTCTGAATTGTAAGTTTCTTCTATGATGTATGCCACCATGTGTCTTAAACATACTGTGGCACACACTAAGACCATGTCCTCACTGTATAACGCATCCTGAGAAGCTGTGCATGTATGTAAGCCTATGTTCATGTATCACCCACGCACCTGCACTGACTCCTCACTCCATTCATGTTCACACCACTCCTCATGCCTCTTACCATGGGCAGGTCTTTTAGGATCTGTATTCCATCTCCAGGACCCATGTGTGCTATGTGGTTAAAATTAGTTGGGTTAGAAATTAATTTATTTCTCATTTCTGGATCTCGTAGCATCTCCCTGTAAGGTAGAACACCTGTTTAGAAGTTTTTCCACATTTAATCATTATAACTTAAAAAATTAAGCATACTTTGTTTTATAAAAATAAAGATATGATTAGAATAACAGAATATATTAATAGTTCAATTCCTCAGATTGCTTTGTTTTTTTAAATTTTAAATAAGAAGACCTTAAGATTTAGGGTTTGTTTGTTTAAATTGTTCAGTGCTGGGGATCAAAGCCAGAGACACACACATGTATTAAGTTCTGTAGCACTGCATCCCACCCTTGCTGGAAAGGGCTCCTTTAGCATGCATCAAAGATTCCTGCTCTACTTTGTAGACACATGAAATATTATATGTGCATCTTTTATAAAAGATAACATTTTAGAAATGGTTTTAAATATAGCTACATCTGTTTGCTCATGGAGAATAGAGTTAATCTGAGTTTCTTTTTGTTTGTTTAGTTTTTTTTCCTATTTTCTTTTTTTTTAAGAAAGGGTCTTACCCTTTAGCTCAGAGCATGTTGGCCTCAAGCTCAAGGCGACTCTCCTGCCTTAGCCTCTTGAATGCAAGGATTACAGGCATGAGTTACCATGCCTGGTTTCTGTACTTCTTAAGCATGTATGAATTTACTATATGCACAGATGATTTGTAGTACAAGTTACACATGGCGGAAATGATAACTCTTCCATATACATACAGAAATGAGTGAAATTTGATACTTTACCCACTGTATTCTTATAACTTTGACAGTATTAATTAAAATGGCCCTGAGGGACGCCACTCATTAGCATAGAATTCCCCTGCAGTTGGAGAGAGACTTCGAGTATTACTCGTGCTTGGCTCTACAATTTTAGATCATAGCTGAGTGACAAATTTTCAGATACCAAATCGGTCTTCTCAATTGTTTCTAGCTTGTCCTCTGGGTGATGGCAACATGGACAGATGCCAGCAGCATGGATGAATGCTGGGCACAAGTGAACCACATACCTCCTCTGTTGCATCCTTTCCTCCTCTGGGACTCTGAAGGAGTAACGCCGCTTGTTGTTGATATTTCTAACCATTTGTTTTCGACTATTATCTGATGTTTCAGGAACTACAAGTTCATCCCCTTCTGTGAGAAACAAAATAATGACATTGTTTAAATTGCTAAAATTCTTTATATCTATTAATTTCTGACATTGCAATCAACTGAATAATATGTACAACTGTGACAATTAAGAGTTATGCATTAAAAATAAGAAAGAAAGCAGTAATTTTCAGTGGAATATACTAAAAGATAAATGCTAAATTAGGCATAGCTTACAAAAACACATTCTTATTTTTAATTATAAATACAAGATGTTACACGTTTGCTAGAAGAAAACTAAAGCTGTCTTGGTGCTACGGCTTTGACCAGCCACTTCTCCTCCAGTATCTTCACACTGTTTTCCTTCTCCTGCAGAGAGTGTTTTCAGTGGCCCCAGTCCACGGAAAAGCAGTATGCCCTCTGAACTGCCGAGCCATCTCTCCAGCCCCATTCATTTCACTCTTAAAAACAATGCCCCCCAACTCACTTTCCATAAATTATTTTCTCCATCTTCACTTTCAAGGCTTCCTGTTCTAGGTCCTTACTCTGGGGATTCATTCCTATGATCTTTTTTGCCTCTCCCCACATTATCTTCAGTATTTCAGAAGCACTGATAGCTGGAGATGGATTCCTGAAGTCCCCCCACATGGAATTCTGGACAAGTGACCTACTGACTAGGTTCTAAATACTACATACCCAGCCATATTGTCTCTATTTATCAGGGGCTTCACAGGAGAAGAATGTGTGTCAAACACTTTGCCTACACAGACACACAGCTCAAACAGGATTGTTAGTTCACAGCTTGTAGTCACTGTTTCTCCAGAGTTTGACAGTAGGCATCACACACTCCAGAGTGAGATATGCCTGAGCCAAATCTGGGCTGAGGCATTCATTGCATATTCAAATGCCTTGGACTGATGTAATATTTCCACTGGATTAATCTTATTAATATATCCCTTACCTGCCATCTTATTTTTGAAATATATTAATCTAATAGTCTCCAACCCTAAAAGATTTAATGATCCTTCAGTGTTTAAAGGTCGGACCTAAAATAATAAAAATAAAATTAGTATTTCAATAAAACCTTTAAAAATTAAATCATAAACATTTCAGTCTATTAAGAATACACTATTAAGACATTTCATTTATGTTAAGTCAAAATACAGTTCTTTAAAACATCTCAAGTTAATAATTCTTACTAGGCAGGTATACTATAATTTAATTTGAACAAACTAATGCATCATAGTAATAGTTTAAAGGAACTCTATCCTGGACAAATAAATTAAGTAGAATATATAAACCTAAAAACTGACCATTTAAAAATCATCAGCGACAAAAAACTAAACTAAAAAATGAACACATTTACTTCATGAATTCTTATCACTAAACACTGAATGCCCACATATCTGCAGATGATAGAGCAGACAGGGAAATTATCACTGATAAACAGCGATGGAGGAACCAGCCATATAAACCAATATGGCCAGATTCCTACTTGACACCATACATTAAAACTTAGTTCTAAGTGGATCACAGGCATATGTGCAATAATAAAAAGTTTTCTATGAACAAAATACTGCACACAGCAACATGTGGTAGTTAGAATACTTTTGGAAGAAAATAAAGATTGTATCTTTATGGTCTTGAAGCAGGAAAGCTTCTTAAGAAGAGAAAAAAGAAAAACCTAAACAATAGGAATAACATTTACTTCAGTAAAATTAGTAATTTTGTTCAGGGAAATACACCATGAACATGAGCATATGCGACAAATGAGAAGATTATCCTGTGTGTTAGTAACCCAGGACCCACATAAAGAAGTCCAATAAATCAGGAAGAAAAAAAAGGGAAAAATTCAACAAAAAGATGAGCAAACATGACCAGGTACTGCCTACAAGGGAAAGTATGAAGGGCATTATCACAGTTAACTGGGACAGGCAAAACAGTACTTTAGTGATACACTAGTTTACCACGATTTACAGAATGATGTGCTAGGGATAATATGGATAAGAGAGAACCATAGATGATGCTGTGACTGTCATTTGTGCTAATATTTTGGAAAATAGATGACACTATAGCATATGGTTCAACAGCTGCAGCCCCTGCACCTTAGCAACCCCACTGTGAGGTGATGGGGTAAAGAAACTCCCCTATACCTGCACTAAGACATGCACAGGAATGCTGACAACAGCAAAGAGTTAGCAGTAATTCAAATGCTGTCAACCAGATAATGGATAAACACTAAAGTATTCACCCAAAAGACTATTTTATAGTAGTGAAAAACCAATGAGCTTTATGTAGTACATACAGTAACATGTGTTAATCTTAAAAACACAATAAATGAGCAAAGACAGAAAAGAAAAAAAGCAGTAATTTCAACAGTTTAATAAACTGCAAAATCAAACAAAACTGAATATTACTTTACTTAGGAATACTTAAAATTTCCAGCTTCTCTATTCTACGGCAAGCAACAGGATGAGAATACGCACAACCCTGGTAAGGTGTGGGACACAGATGGCGCATGTGGAAGCAGAGACGCTGGGATATTTTGTTCTTAGGAAACGAGCAGAGCTCACAGTGTTATTCAGTTTACAGGACACATGCTTGCACATTGAAATGTTATACAAAAAAAATGAAATACAAAACTGTTGCCAACCCAAATTTACAAATTTTAGAATGATATATTTGTTGCTTTACATAATGTAGCATCTTTTTCTGAGGGTTTACACTACTAATATGTCTTAAAATTGGGGCATATTTTTGCCTGTTGTGGCACAAGTCTTTAATCCCAGCACTTAGGAGGCAGAGGCAGGCAGATCTTTGTGTGTTCGAGGCCAGCCTGGTCTATAGAGTGAGTTCCAAAGCAGCTAGTGCTACACAGTGAAATCCTGTCTTTAAAAAACAAAAAACAAAAAACAAAAAACTGAGGCATATGTTTAATGATCTTGGCTGGCTTATTTCCTCTGTTCCTCTAACCTGACCTTCAACTAATGGCACATACAGTATACACACCAAATATATTGATATAACATGATTACTTTTCATTTCTGCAAAATAGAAATTCCATACTTATAAAAATTTTCCTTGTTAAGGAAATAGAAATATTAATATAAAATACACTTTTATTAGGCATATGAGAAACCACTTATTTTTTTTCTTTTGTTTTTCTGAGACAGGGTTTTGCTATAGCTTTGGAGCCTGTCCTGGAACTAGTTCTTGTTGGCCAGGCTGGCCTCAAACTCATAGAGATCTGCCTGCCTCTGCCTCCCAAGTGTGCTTGGATGAAAGGCATACACCACCACTTCCTGGTGAAACCACTACTCTTAAAACATTAAGACACCTACAAAGTTTTGATTTCACATTTCCAGCCATAAAATGAAAGAATTAATCACTGACTATCCATACATGAAAAGTATACTCCCTGAGTCCTTTAACCCAACGCAGAAGGCAATACACTGACATTTTTAGGTTGCAGTATGTGCTCTAGTTGCTCATCATGAGAAAAAAATTCAGATTTAATAGGGAGAAATTAAATTCAATAAATACATTATGGTATGGCCTACCTATCATAAACTAACCAGTTTAGAATTAACCCATTCTCAGAAAGACAAATACTATAGATTTTCTCTCCTATGCAGTTCTTAGATTTTATACAGTTATATAAAATCATTTATGTATATATGATGCAAAAGTAGCCCAAGTGCAATTGTCTAGGCAAACCAAGGGGAAGGAGAGTGTAGGAGACACAGAGGTCCTTGTGCTCACAGATAAGTACTAAGGAAACCAGGAGTGTTAAGCAAGCAGGGTATCTCTTCACAGGGAGAGATGTATATAACCTGTTTTCCACCCAGAAGGCTGGGAGTGGACGTGGTTAATAGCCTGGTAACCTTTGTGATATGTATGACCAAGACTGCATCCACACCTCAGACTCTTAAGATGTCACATGTAGTTAGTCTATAGTGCCCATCTTTATGGAAGATATCACATGTACTTTACAAAAAATTTCAACATAGTCATGCCTCAAACTTTATTGTACACATGGGACTAGTTAAGCATCAACAGGAAACTTTTTTCCAAATTGTGCTGTATTTAAATATTCTTAAAATAAACTTTCCAGTGTCAGATTCTCAAATTTTGAACCAACACTGGCTACTGAGTGTGCTGAACTGACTTCCTTCTTGTCTTACAAAGATTGATACTTCTTGATGGTTGTAGAGACCCCCACAGGAGAGGGAGGGGAATAAAAGACATAGTAGTGGGGCTCAGAGATAGTATGCTTAATGTACAATATGCACACTCTTGAAAATGTCCTTATGTAACACAGTGCTATGCACAATGAATATCTGCAATAAAAAAATTTAAAAAATTAACCAACTTGGCCCACATTGAAGTGTTCCATTACCTTTTTGAGAGGAAGAGTCTGTATCCATTCCATGGAGTTTACATCAAAGACATCAACTGCATTTTCACTATAAATGGAGAGATAAGGTGCATTGTAACCTGGGGGGGAGGAAGGAAGGTAAAACCTGCTGATTATTGGGAATTATTAAGACCCAAACACTTTGAAAGGTCTATCCTAAGCAACTTTAGAGTGGAATCGTTTCAAAACCCAACAGTTATTACCTAAGAATGATGTTATAAACATTTTGAAGTGAGCAGGACATAAAGCATGAATGAGAACTGATATGCCATAGCTCAGATTATGAGCCCAATCCAGAAGGAATCAATGAACACACCTTGTCTTATGAGAAATTTCACGGCACTTTAAAGTTAAACTATTGACAGTGAAACAAACACACAAAGTACAGAAAATTTCACCTAAGTGTTCTGGTCTGGAACGGTAAAGTAAGATAGGCATGGCATGTGTTCTGTTATAGGCACTGTGTGACAGGAACAGATGCTCAATCCACACTTGTAGAAGGAATGGCAACACAAGCAAAGAGTAAGCGATTGACTCAAACTACAGTTATGACTAGAAATGTATTAGCCTGACTATGACTTCACATTAGAACAATCAGGAGTAGCTGGCTCAGTTATGAAACAGCATTCATTTACCCATATGTCACTGATAACAATGTTCATTTCAGAAGAAATAAAACACTATAAATAGTTAAATCTGGGTAGGTTAGAGACTTTTGATCATTTTTCTGTCATAAGAACGCAACTATCCCAAGACACACTCTTTCACCTAACTCACCTGGACAGCCCTGCCCTCCATCCTTCCTGCTGCAATGGAGAGGTCCTTGGCTCCTGCCCCAATAATTGTTTTACTAGACTGAAGAATTCCACACTCTTTGGGTCTTTTCAGGACATCTTTTTCTACTGTCTGTATTTCCCAAACAGTCCACCTTTTCCTACTGATTCTCTAATGGCTTTTTCCTCTTGGCATTTAAACAGGCTTAAGAGGCTTCCATTACAAACAAAGCAATCTGGATCAGACATTCTCTCCCTTGAACACCTGTAACAGCATCCTATCTAACCACTTATCCCAGGAATCTTCCCTACTTTGTGAGGCAGACAGTACTGCATCGATTTCACTCATGACTTCATCTCATACAGTAAAATATGTACTCAATAGTGATTATTATTCAGTGATAAAGTATTAAATGAAATATTAATATTTTAATATTTAAGGAAAGAATGAAGTAAGTAAATTTAAATATATATACCTATAAAATGTAAAATGAAGTAATACGTCTTATAATGGTCACTTTATTTCTTCCAAGAACATGTTAAACAATGACTTAGTAACTTCCCCCGCATAAGTCTTATGAGCTACTGTTACTTAAGGATACTATATTTAGGGTGACAGTGAAAAAAACGATTTGGGATTATTTTTAAACACAACAAAATGTAGTTAAAAAAATGTATCTCAGTAAGTTTTCCATAGAAAGATTAGTCTTACTTACAAGCATTTAATTTTCATTGTTTGTCTAGGTTTTACAATATATGGTTATTTTACTTTAGCAACATAATTAGTACTTGGGGGAGACCTGAAGAATGACTATATAAAAAAACCCAAATTGTTAGTAAAAATGATTATATTTAAAGTAAGTGAAAAGGCAAAAAGGGACGAAGATAGACAAGAAAGAGAATCTTACAACAAGAGGAAGGATTTGCCGGCCACATCAATTCTTGTTGTCTAGATCTTCGGCCCTGGCAGTCTGTGTATATCCCAATGCTGTTAAAACACAGCAAATACTCTTTGTTGGATATCTCAACTGCACAGATAGCATCCATTGGTTGATGTGCAATGAATGATAGTGTGTGGTCATTTGAATGGAGCATATTGCATGGACTTCCTTCTCCATTCAAGGGGTATCTGAGAAATCCCGACTGGAATCCTACACAAAGTTGCTCATTGAAAATGGCCATCCACTGGACATTACTTGGGACTTGAATTTCCTTAAATTTCCTGTGTCGGGTCTTGCTCTGGAACAGCTCATAGCAGAGGACCTGTCTTTTCATAGCCACACACAGGCAGGACAGGGCTCCATGGCGCACTTTCCCAGCAGTTATGGTTTGACACCCTTTAGTTTCTGCCAGCTTATAAAAATCTGTCTCTCGCCCATCCAAAGCTGACATAGGAAAAAGTCGGACATGGCGATTTCGGCCCGAGATCACTGCAACAAGCTGATCACTTGGAATGAGTTCAATCTGATGAATTTTCTTATTGTCACCAACTCTAATAATCTCTACAGGAAGAAACAACAACATTAAATGCAAAACAAGTTTATTAATTGTATCCAAATTAAACACCAAAGTATATAATATATATTATAATATGGATATATAATATCCATATTAAAGACACATACGCACAACAGTATCTAAGAGCAGAAATCACAGAAGAAAAAAGGAGGATAACTGAACCCATTATCAGATCATTTAACCTACCAATAGCTGATAGCTGGTATTGATTTCAGCACTGAGATCTTGTGAGTCAAGGCAAATAAGTCCTATGGAAAGCATGCCTATACTTCACAAAGTTTGTTTATTGGTACTAAATTCTAGAAACTTCACCATGGAGTTCCTATTTTTAAAATCCAAGTGACTGCAACTCATGTTTCTCTTTAGGTATTTCTTTTTAAATTTTATTTTATGTATGTGGATATTTGCCTACATATATGTCTGTGAGTCACTTGCATGCCTGTGTCCAGGGAAGCTAGAAAAAGGCATTGGATACCCTATAATATAATATAAGTTAAAGATGGTGTAGGCTATCATGTAAGAGCTGGGAACTGAACCACTGGATCCTCTGCAAGAGCAGACAGGGTCACTGAGCCATCTCTCTAGTTCCACCTCTTCAGGTATTTGTGTGTACATGTGGCCACATATGCATATATAAGCATGTACACCAGAAATCAGCCTAAGGTGTTCTTTCTCAGGAGCTTTCTGCCTTCAGTTTTCATTTTTTTAATTAAGAATTTTAAAATTGTGTATATATGTGGATGCATGTCACAGCATGGGTGTGGTGTTCAGAGGACAACTTTGTGGAGTCAGTTTTCTTCTTCCACTTTTATGTGGGTTTCAGGGATCAAACACAGATTACCAGGCAGGTATGGCACCTTTATCTGCTGAGTCATCTTGCCCACGCCCACCTTTGCTAAATCAGGTCTCTCATTGGGACCTGGGATTTGCTAAGCGGGCTAGGCTGGCTAGCCAGTGATTACCAGTCCATCTGTCTTTTCCTTCCCTAGGCTAGGCTGGCTAGCCAGTTACTACCAGTCCATCTGCCTTTCCATTCGCAGTGTTGTGATCATAAACATACACTACCATGGGATCCAGTGCTATATGGCAAGCACTTACCAACTGGAACATCTTCCTAACGCTTCTCAAGGTATTCCTATGGGGACCAAACTCATCAAGCTTAGTGAATGACCCATTTGCTCAGGAGCTAACCTAATATAAAGACAGAACTTCCAATACTATGTTTATAAAAAGCAAATTCAACCGGTTTTGCTTTATTTCACTCAGCACTTTATTTCCCTTTAGGGAGCTAAAAACCTGTTGCACTGAACCATGGGAATTTTAGACATTTCTTCTTAAAGCACTACTAAGAATGAGAAAAGTGACTTTGTCTTTTATGTGTAATCTTTAGACATGAATGGAACTGTTCAGTAAAACAGGAGAGGGGCAGTACACAGAGCTTTAGGGGTAATAGAATTGAAAACCTTTTAGTTAAAGCTGGGTGTGGTGGCACATGCCTTTATCCCCAGGAGGAAGAAGCAGGCAGATCTGTGAGTTCAGTCAGCCTGGTCTACATACTGAGTTCTAGGATAGCAAGAGTTATACAGCGAAATTCTGTCTTAAAAAAACCAAAAAGAAAAAATCTTTTGATATTCACAACATATAAAATTATATCTGGAAAATTTTAGTAACACAATCCTGCTCTTAGAATTTAGGTTCAAGACTTTTCTAATATATAATTTAAAATTACTTCAGAATAACTGGGTTTTCCCTTACCATCTTTGGTGACATGCACAACAAATAATCCTTCTTCATTTCCCAAGGCTATCCTTTCATGATCTATTTAAAACACAAACATAAAACATTTTCATCAGATAAAAATGTCAGGATAACAGAATATACCAGATAATGAAAAAATTTGGTGTTAGAATAAAGTTAAATAACAAAATCAAAATATAATTTATCTTTCCCCTCAGAGTACAGTATAAATATGTCATGTCTTTTTAAACAGAACAATCAGCTAAAAGTCTGCTTTAGTATCAAAGGAAGGAAATGTTTATTCAATAATGAGAAAACTAAAAGCCCAGTTTGTGAGTATCATAGACATTAACCATTCTAGAAACCATTCCGTGAAAGGCAGTTTAATCCTGCTCACTAAGCTTCTCACATTTACTAGATAGCAACAGAAGTGGAAAATGCATATAACAAATGTACAAAAAGGTAAACAGAAGTTGCTATTTGCTGGTGACATGCTCTATATTCTACGACTTCAAAACTCCTCAAGAACACATATTACACGTGAAACCACATTCTAGAATTAACTTGTTTCAATTCACAAAAGTAGAAAAAGGTTAGCAGGTTGGCGTTTAGCACTAGTGCTCTTTAAGAAGACAATGCACGTCTACTCCTAGGAGTGCTAAAACACAGATCTGACAAGGTCTCACTCACCCACAGACATCTGACACACGCCAGACACTGTGTAAACAGTGGGGCCAACTCAACATATAGATTAATAAACAGTTATGGGACTATGATGACTGCTATAAGTGCATACCTATGATTGCAGCTGCCTGCGTTGTTTTAATGAGGGGTAGGGTGCTGTCATAGGCCTCTTTGGGAACATACACAGAGCGGTCTCTGAATTTGTTTTTCTTCAAAATCTTGTGTAGTTCACTCAGGACTCCCACCCACTTACTCTTCTCATTCTCACTGTCGGCAAGCATCAGGATGGAACATTTGTTACTAGGTGCTGAGAGCTGGGAAGCTGTGACCTAAAACAATTTAATATTCACAATATTAGAAAACAGACATCTTTTATGCTAGCTGCACCGTTCTGTCATTTGTTTAGCACTCACAGTAAGATGAGCATTTATTAAATTATCCCTTTAGAAAACTTTAGCTATGCTGAATTAGAGTATCTCACTGGAATGTTATAATTCAAACAGTAGGAGATGATACAAATCAAAATGTTACTATCATTTCATGCTCTTTGTTACAAAATGCCATAAAAATGCATTACACACACTGATTTAACAAGTGACACTTAAAATTATCAATTATCAGAGAGAAAAACACTTTACAAGCATTAACTCATTTAGCCCTCTTAACAGCTTCGTGAGACAGGAGCTATGATTGTATACTAATTTTATATAAGACTCCATGGTAAAGAGAAAGTAAGTAACTTATCAAGGGCATGAAGTTAAGCATGCTTCTATGCTCATGAGCATATATCATACTGTTCTGAAAGTCTCTTGTACTTCCTAATAATCCTTCATGTTATCATTGGAGAAGGTTAGATCACTTGAAACAGGAAGTAAATAAAAGTTTGTAAGTCAGAGCACTTTTCAATTATGTAACAATAAAATCCTACTGCAAATCAGTACAGGTAAGGGAGCCTTTACAGACTCCCTTGGGAGCTAGGGGAGAATAAACAGTTGGTGGCCTTGAAAGTGAGAGATTACGTTTAAATCTTTGAACTTTCTTACATATAAGATTCATAGACAAATAGGAAGAAGGACAGATATAATAGAACAGTTTTACAAATCTGTGCTGTTTACTTCATTAAGACAGCTACCGGCAATTATCTGTATGCAATAATGAGAGATAGACAGATCAAGATATATACATATATAGAGAGAGACCATGAATATAAAGAGGAGAATTGACATTGGTCAGCTGACAGCCAGAATCAAAGTCACAGATGTGAAGAAAACATTATTTTGGATGTTCCTGTCCCAAATTACCTGGCTGCAATCACAAGAGGAGCATCAGCCAATATTGTACACAGTGGAAAACGAACATTCCTACTAAAGTTTTGGAGGATTTGTTATAAAGGAATAGACAACTGAAACACAATTTTAAAAATAAGAGTTTTACAGAGACAAACATTCTTGTTTTTAAGTTGAGAAACCCCATGTGGTAATATTTTAAAGATTGAACTGGGGTTCAAAAATGAAGAATATGAAGCATATTTTAAAAGCATATTTATGCATTCTACAAGTCTTAGCACAATCTTGTATTCATGCAAATACTGGAGTACTACGTCTGGGTCTTGTCCAGTAACTCTATGGTTTGTATGTAGTAGTAAAACATACCAATTACAAACACGTAACTAGGTGCTGGCTCAGTGGATAAAGCACTTGCTGCACAAACCTGAGGGTCAGCATTTGGATCCCCAGAACCCAGGTTTAAGTCAGGTTGGTTTGTCTGTTATTCCAGCACTCCAGAGGTAGAGACAGGGATTGCTGGGGCAAGCGAGCTAGCTAATTAGCTAAAGCTGCGAGCTGCAGGTTCAGTGAGACTCTGTCTCAGTATTTAAAGAGGAAAGCAATCAAGAAAGATATCTGACATCAGCTTCTGGCTTCTACAAGCATGTGCACACAAACATATATGCACATAATATACAATATACATGCAAAAACTCGAAGTAATTAAGTGCTCAAGTCATACACAGACTTACTCTAAATATACAGGGAATATCTTTTCGACTTGCGTGAATAACATCAGAAGCCAAGACTGAACTCACAGAAAATTCTTCATCTCTGAAATAGAAGTTAAACATTCAGGGTTATTACATGTTGCCTGTGTATGGGTTTGCTTATATACCCAAATAACGTACATAAAGCAATCCTCAAAGCATAACTGTATAAACATCCAAGCTCAATTTAAAACGAAACAAAACACAAGATTTCCCCACTAGTGACTGACAGTACTCAAGGTAATAATCCATTAGGAGTAACCTGGCACTTTACACTAGACATAACTGTTGACTCATGCAGACACACAAGGCCAAGAAGCACACAGGCAGAAGGGGTTTTTAGTCTCCAGAGTCCTCAATGGACTCTCATGCCTGCCATAATAAATCTCAAATGACATCAATCAAGTTCATCTGACACTGTGACTTCAGCACCTAAAACAGTGATTTATACCTGACCTCACTTGACATCTATCTGTCTGTCTGTCTGTCTGTCTGTCTGTCTGTCTGTCTGTCTGTCTGTCTGTCTGTCTGTCTATCTATCTATCTATCTACCTACCTACCTACCTACCTACCTACCTACCTACCTACCTACCTATTTTGGTTTTTTGAGACAGGGTTTCTCTGTAGCTTTGGGGCCTGTCCTGGAACTAGCTCTTGTAGACCAGGCTGGCCTCAAATTCACAGAGATCTGCCTGCCTCTGCCTCTCGAGTCCTGGGATTAAAGGCATGAACCACTACTGCCCGGCTGTCTTATCCTTGTTTTAACATACGGTTTTGCTGTTGTTCATGTTATCCTTAACCTTAATGTGGGCTAAGGATCTCTCTTTTGCCTAGCGCCCCCATATCTTTACATTCAGTGCACTAGCAGGTCTGCCAAATCTCTCCTGCTGATATTCCCTGTACCAGTCCTTCCATATTTCACTGTGTTTCAGGCACCAATAGGCATAGCTGGAGATGTACATTTTGAGCAATGGGTATGTCTGAATTAGAGGCATGCGGAGGATACATCAATCAGGAGTAATGGCTGAAGCTGTAGGAGAAAATAAAATCTCCCAGCACAGTGCCTGGAGCTCCTAAAAAGGGAGGAAGAGGGTGCTCAAGAAGAGTCTGGACAACGGAGCTAGAAACACAGATTCTGGGGCTGGTGTAAGATGCTATGCCCTTTATTTTCACAGAATAACTTTGCACTTCCCGATGACGACAGGTGAGCATGTATTTAGGATTCTTACATCATAACCTTTAAATTGGTCTTTTAGAGTCAAACTTAGGCTTTTAGTTCCACACACTCAACACATAGACCAACTTGCCCTAGAACCACCCCTACCTCCCTACTTTCTAGTATGTTATAGGAGCCACAGGACTAAATCCAAAAATTGACCCCAAATTAGGCTAACTAATACGAAGCATAGTAACATAAAAGAAAGATCATAAACTACTTCTTATGCTGCGATGACACATACATCTTCATCCCTCGGGGCTTACCTCATGTCAATCACTTGACTAATGACAGAGCTGGGCTGAGATGCTTTTCCTTCCGCAATATCGTAGAGAAATAGTTTGAAATCACAGACTACAGCCAGTGCTCTCTGCCACCCTTTCTTCACTCCAGCTGGCTTAGGGATCTTGGTTTTGTTTCGGTCAGACAAACAAACAAAGAGAACTCAAATAAAAATGACAGTGTGAGCCTCTGGTCCTGCTCTAGGTCTGCTTTCTAGCTGGTAAGGCAGCAAGTGGGACACAATGCCACTAGTAAGGGGACAGTGAGAACACACTTGTTAGACCCTGGATGGCTTTATAAGCTTTAAATGGTACCATTTCAGACTGACAACTCTAAAATAAAATATACTCAGTTTTTTTTAAGAGAGATAGCATAAATAGCAAATTTGGTTGAAAGAGGAAACTGGCATTTACTTCCCACTGGAACTGCGCCTAAGATAGTAAACTCATATCTTAGTATTTCCTAATTTACACCTCAACCACAGTCTACCTCTCAGGCAAGACCAGAGGTCCAAGACTCCATTATGGTGATTTTGACATTTGTAAATCTCAAGGTACAGAGAGTACAGAAAACTCTGTGATACTTTAGAATTTATTTCCAAGTAATTATGTTGCTAGATAAAATATTATTTAAATGAGTTTGATTCACTGAATTTTCTGTCAAGTGCTGTGCTTACTGAGTAGCTAAACAGAGGTACTCACCCTGACATGGCCCTCATACGCTGTCCCTACTCCCTTCTGTGGGTCTATACCAAGTGGACCTTTAGTCTGCTCAGGAGGAACCGGACAAGCAGTCGGAGCTTTGTTCACACACGTTATATGACACGAGAACCCACACACTTTTGGAGGGAAAAAGGACACAATTTAGATTAACAACAACAACAATAACAACAAAATTCACTGGGCACTAATTGTATCCATGGTGCTAGTTAGATGAATGCCGATTTTCTACTTTATTTTAAACAACTGTTTTATCACTAGGGAAATAGATTCAGTTGCCTGTCAGTCAGAAATGCACTGAGAAGTAGTAAATGCTTTTTATTATTTATATTATTATTCTCTTTAATATTAGTGATAAAACTGAGAAGCAAATGGGTAAGACAGAATAACAAACAAAAATCCAAACCTTGTAAATAACATGGCTGATTTAACCTTATAATTCCTACCAAAGTGGCCTCTAAACAGTTTACTTTTAGCTCTTTATTCAATGCAACTCATCATCAGTCCTGAAATTCTCTAGGAGAGTTACTATGAACACTCAGATACTTGATGTCTCTATCAGCAACGTTGAATTGATTAATTTGTGTGTGTTATTCACCCATGCTTATGTGTTTGCATGTGTATGAGTACATGTTCACACGCATATGAGGATGTGAAGCCCAAGGCTGACATCAGGTATCTACCTCTATCTGTCACTCCCCACCTCATTTTCTGAGGTCAGTCAGGTCTCTCACTGAACCTGGAGCTCAACACTTCAACTGGTCCAGCATGCCAGCACCCTCAAGATCTCCTTTCTATCTCCTGAGTCTGGGATTACAGTTGGGCAACCTGGCATGTGTGCTGGAAACCCAAACTCTAGCCCTTATGCTCGGGTGGTAAGTACCTTATTCACTAAGCCATTTCCCCAGGCCCTGTATCTGGCGACTTTTACTGACTGTTTGGAAACAAGTGTTTCAATGACTATGAAGGTGTAAAGAAATGCTTGGAGTTGTATTCTCCACGTTTTCACTACCAGACAGGATAAGAGCTAACTTTACGGAGCATTTTCTAGCATCTCTGTTCCACACTACTTATTCAGTCACAGAGGTGACAGCAGCAGTGATGGCATTCAAACCCATCTGTCTGCTTAGAGCCTGTACAGTCAGTTGGCAACAGTACTGTTATAAAGCCAAAAAGTCGCCTTTTCTTTCCTGTTGTTCTTACCTTCACAGGAACAGCCCTGTCTTATCAAGCCAACCATCAAGGAGGTGCATTGATGGCACTTTGTAGGGGCAGTGAAAGACTTCACGAAAAATTGATGAGTCTTGCGCTGCAAAATAATTGATGGAAGAGTTAATCCTTCCACCTCTCACTGCACATCCACATGGAACTGCAGGCACTTCTCACATACCAGACAAACTTCATGCACACTGCACATCTTGTACTTTCAGAGTCTTTCTTGAATATAACTTCTAGCATTTCTGATAGCTTTTGATTTGTCAGTGACTCTTAATTTACAAATGTTGGCTCTTTTATTCTAATCTGTTGACCATTTTTGTACTTGAGTCTTTCCTCCTTCTTTCCTCAGTGACTGACAGAAATGAGATTCTTTTTCATCTTTAAGTCATTGTCTGATCTTTGAGCTTACTTTATATGTCTGAAATATCTCCTTTTAATTCCAGCTTTCTCTGGAATTCTTTCATCTATCACCTCAAGTCTTCCTTTATCTTGCATCTTTAAAGATATTATTATTATTATTATTATTATTTTGGGGGCAGGGGCATATGTATGCAGGTGCCACAGGACTTATGGAGGTCAGAGGACAACTTTCAAGAGTCAGTTCTTTTCTTGCACTCTGCTGAGGCAGCATGTCCTGCTGTCTCTGCTGCTACACTGTGTACTCCAGGTTAGCTGGCACTTGAGCTTCCAGGAGACCTTCCTGTCTGTCCTTCCCGTCTGATGGTCCTAAAGTTACAGATGTGCACTGTGGTACCTGGCTCTTCACATGGGCTCTGGCGGAAGCTTGGGTAATCAGGTTGCACAACCAGCACCTTCGCCAGAGGGGTCATAGCTCAAGCCTGACATCTTCATTTCTGAACTTTCCCATCTCCAATTGGTTATTTAAGTTCCTATCATTTAAATAAGCCCATTTCTTTGATTTAAACATTTTGAATATGTTTTAAGTTGTTTTCTTGTATCCTTTACTGAAGCTTTTCATCTCTAATTTGAAGAAATTTTAGGTCATTATTTCTTCAAAAATGTACTTTTGTGTGTGTGAGTCACTGTATATGCCAAGTGTACAAAGGTGCCCTTGAGGTCAGAAGAGGGCATCAGATCCCCTAGAGATGGAGTTAGAGGCAGTTGTGAGGTGCCTGATATAGGTGCTGAGAAAGGAACTCTGGTCCTCTGGAGAACAGCAAGTGCTCTGAACTACAGAGCCATTGTTCTAGACCCTTTCCTAGTTCTTTAATTCCACGTTTTTCCTACTGGAAGTCATATTATATTATGTAAATGTTGACACCATTCCTGTCATATACCTTAGCTTTCAAATTTTTCATCTCATTTTCTAACTGACTTGTTTTTCTATTATATCTATTCTTTTCACTCTGTTATTAAAGCTCTTTATAGATCTCAGCAGTTACATTCTTTTGTCAAGTTCTTCTAGATTATTTTTTCTTATTACTACTATATCCTATCTGACATTACCCATCTTTGTAAGGATATTTATTATATTCATTTTAAATTCATATTCTGTCTTGTCTCAATATGTAATGGTATGTGGTTATTGTTGTTTTGTTTTTCAAAACAATGTTTTTCTGTATAGCCCTGATGATCCTGGAACTTGCTTTATAAGCTGGCCTCAAATTCAAAGATCCACCTGCTTCTGCCTCCCAAGTACTGGGATTAAAGATATATGCCACCACCACTCAGCCCTCTTCATAATTTTTAAAATTTGTTTTCAGAACCATTGATCACATTCATTTGTGATTTATTCATAGTTTATGTTCTGGGGTGGAAGATTATTGGTCTTCCAGTTTCCAGAATTTCTTTCCATAGGCCTAAACAAGGAGCTCAGTCTTCATTTCTTACCATACACAGTGCCCTGCTCATAGTAGTATAGGGGTACTTTTGCTGTTTGATAAAACTCAGGCTCACATTCATTGAAGAGAGCTTCAACTTAATGCTTTTATCAGGTGACAAATAAGGGTTCCTCTAATAGGCTATGAAACACAGAATTTAAGAATTAAATATACTGTATACTCTTTCCAATATTCAGAATGGTATTTACATTTATTATTAAATTTATTTTCTTCCTAAGCTTTTTATTTTATAGCTTTGAGGAAATCAGCAACAAAACTCACAGCAAATATCCAAAGTAGAAGAAATTCACTCTCATGTTTTAGAACACACTATGTTTAGAGTAAATACCTTAGGTGGAAAGCCAGCTGAAGCAGGGCATCCTTTTTTCCTTAAGGTTGGCGTGTGAACTGGAAGTGGAGCACAGTCTGCAATCTGAATTCCACGCAAAAGAGGAAATGAATGTCGTGAAAAACTCACTATATTTAGAAAACAACTAGAAAGAGACCAGAGCAAATAAACCAACAACATTTCAACAATGCTAAGGAGACAGTGCCTCAGCTCCCTGAGGTTCAAGTTTTCCCAGAACTGTACTTCAAGTCTGAGCTCACAATATTTACAAATGAGTTATTTTCTTAATTATAATCATTTCAATTTGGAAATTTAAATTTAAAAAGAAATAAATTAGAAAATAAAATCCAGAGAAAACAAAAATCACAGCATGTAATTTACACAAAAATGAAGATATTTTCACATTCGTTCAAATTTTGTGACATTGATCCTTCAAAGTAACTGAATATTTAAGAAAGATTTATGATATGAATTAATGTCATACACACAAGATTAATTTTAAACAACTTTTTACTGTACTAGAGTTCATGCGTGTGTGTGTATATGCATGTATATGCGTGAGTCAGATGAATGCAAATTGTCAGAGGACAACTTTGTGACGTCACTTCTCTGCTTCTAACTTTTTGTGGGCTCTAGAGAGGAAGCTCAGGTTTGCCCAACAAGTGCTGTACTTGTTGAGCCATCTCATCAGTCTTAGAAGATTCTTTCTAACTACGTGATTTCCATATTTAGAATATATTATGTATATGGAATACAATTACATAGATCTGAATATATGAAGATTAGTGGGATTTTTACACAGAAATTAATTTTAAATAAAGGAGTTAAAATTATTTAATATTATTGGCATTATGAATTTAATTCAAATTTAGTTATGTCATATCTCTACTGTAAGTAAAATGAAGTCTACTTTATCAAGTATTTTATGCTTCTTTGAATAAAAAGAACCAGTGATTTTATTGGATGTTATTGTGGGGGAGGAGGGTACATTGCTTAATTAGCAATAAACAAATAAAGTAAAAAACAAAAAACAACAAAAGACAGTAACTTCTTTTTAGGATGCAAAGCAAGTACACATGGAAAACAAGTTGAGCCTTGCATAAAGTCACAGAGTATTAAAATATTACAAGAAAGTTGCTTCTAACCATAACCTCTAAAACTAATCATCTATAAACTATAATCCTGGTATGGAATTTGACTGTGTCAGCTTTTTTGTGAGTTATAAGTTTATATTCAATTTAAATTTTATTTACTTTTGAATAGCTTGAAAAAAAAACAATTAGTCCAACCTATAATTTAAGATTTGAGAAGATAAATACAACAGATATAAGGAATGCTGAAAAAAATCTATGCAAGAGATAATAAAACACAATAGTAAATAAAATAAATGGTCATTAGCATTCTACAGAAAGTCCTAGAGAAGTTATTAAAATTAAAGACTCAAACAAATGTGCTGAATAAAAGATCAACAGTGCCTAATTAAAACTGCATTTAACTGGATTTCACTCACACAGCAACACAAAATTCAGGGCACCAGGACAAATCAACAGGCCACATGGAACACACCGAAAGCAATGAACTCTACTGAAGAATGGCGAGAAGTAACTACTGTGCACACCATGTGCAGAGGTGGAAGTGCCCTATGAAGGGATGATATTGTAAGGATGCCACCTTTCTTCATGTCAATCTATAGAGTCAATGTAATTCCGACTGAAAGCCTCACATGGAATTTGGCACTAAAAGGAGTATGCAAAACTAAAGGGTCAAGAAGAAAAGAACACGGTGGCTATGAGCAGCGCCCAAAAACTGTTCAGGGCTACAGTGATTAAGAAATGTAGAATCAGCGCAAGAATAAGCAAAAGGGCAGAAACACCCACAACAGACCCACACACCAAAGCAGAGACAGTACTGCAGAGAAGTGAAATATAGGAGACTCAAGGGTTTCTATGGAGAGAAAATATTGGAATTCTATTTACCACACCACATAGCAATGAATTTCGGCTTGATTAAAGTCTTAAAGACATGTAATTTTAAAGTTTAGAAGAAAATATGGAAGAAAAATAGTATTTTCATAAAGAAAAACTATGTTAAAAATCACAAAGGCAGAAGTTGGACAGGAAAAGACTGGTAAGCTGGCCAAGAGTTTTGAAAAACAAAATTAACACAAAATTTAAAAATTATTCTCAGACTAAAAGAAAATGCTTGCAACCAATAATACCGAGCAAAGAACTCATATACAGACTTAAAAAGAACATAAAAAACAAAACAACAGGAAAATTAATGGAACAAAAAGACACCAATAGGCAAATCATTAGCAGCCAGAGAACACAGAAAAAGATGCTAAATACAATCAGAAAAGGGAGAAACCTAAGTTAACAAAAATGCTGCTTCACACTCATCCAACTGGCAAAAGTTAGTATCTGATTGCACCAAGGGCTGGTAGGGATGTAGAGAAATGGGAACTCTCACATGCTGCTCGGGGAGGGGGGGGGGATGAAAATGGATCCAAGCACTGTGAAAAACATTTGGGAAGATCTAGTTAAAGTTTAAAGTATATATAACACACAACCAGCTTGTACCCAAACTGCCCATCTGCAAAAGCAAAAATACTAAGATCCCCTCAGGACTAATTTCAGCAATGAAGAGCTGGAAGCAATGTAAGTATCCCACAACAGAAGGATATTTATACAGGGTGAGAGCAGTGCATTTCATTGCATTGTAGTAGTTATTATTACCGTTAGTTTGCAAAGCTCTAAATCACAGTTGGTTGCCCAAAACAAACAAACAAACAAACAAACAAAGGAAAGGAAAGGAAAGAAAGAAATGTGTTCCAGATCCATGTCATTCTTTGTGGTGGTGACTGGTGAGACCATTCATTACCCAACACTTTTGGCTTAAAGCTCATATAGCAGATATAATAAATGAACTAAATGCACATTCTTCTAACTAGAATGTTAAATGGTCTTTAGGGAGAAAACTGACCAATGGGCTGCTTATAGTACTTGATTGACATGAATTATTAACATAACATTGTATTTCTGACTATTAAAAAGCAGGCTTTAGTTGAGTGAGTACCCATGGCTGATTGAGCAGTTAAACTAAACTATTCAGCTGCCACAGTTGTTCAGTTGTTAGAGTAGTAACAATTTCATTTAAAAGCTGGGTTTATGATGCAATGAATTAGTTATATCATGGCTTATTAAACTTGTTAGAAGAATTAAAACACATGAATCAAGAATGACACTTTCAATGCCATGTGCTTAGTTTGTATCTAATACTGTCAATGATACCATTAATTTTGAATATAATATTTACACAAGCATATATCTACATACTTCTCTAACTATAGACTACTTTTAGTTACCTATCTACCTATTTTTGCCTATTTCAGGTGAATGAGTGGTAATCTTCTATTTCTCTGTGTTTTATCAAAATTTAATGATGTCTAATGAACTGTTAACTTACTACACAATGTACTTAATCAGGCAGATTTCACTTAAAATTTTCAATTCCCTTTCCTGAATACAAATGTACAGTTGCGGAGCAACGCTGCTCCAGGGAGGCACCTTAACTGGCTCAGCTTCACTAGATGTGGAAGGAGATGTGGACCTTGACTGGAGGTAAAACTTGATGCTCTGGTTCCTTATATAAGTGCTGCCAACAGGATCAGTCTAGGAAAATAAGTCAGGGAACAAAAAACAAACAAAAAAAACCAATCCAAGAAATTACGTTTTAACAATATGTAACTCTTAAGGCATGGTCATGACAACAATTCTTGAGGAGGATTTAAAAAAAAAAAAACCAAATTCACATTTGAATATTCACATTAGGGATGGCATTTTGCAAAAGCATGAGTTTTACTACAAACAAACATTTTCTTAAATATGGAGAACTGCTATAATTTGGCAACTGTATGGGAGTTACAGGTGAGTGGCCTTTTATAGGCAGTGGGTACAGGTAGGCAGGCATTCAAACAATTCCTAAGCAGTTAACCAAAGCTCCCGCCCCAAGCTTGCTGTTCATCTCTTACCATGAGCACTGACTTACACAGTATATTATCTGTACTCCATGGAAAACTTTTGTAAATTAGACATAGTTTTGTCCTACACAGTGAAATTGAGTCCTTTACCAGGTATTAATTGAAAGCAAAAGGAATTTAACATGCCCTTTGTGCTGGTCACTAATGGCAACTGTTCTGTTTACAGCAGTAAGAAGTACTACATTTGCTGCAACCTCAGTGGAACTCTGAAACACAGCTTATTCCAATACTGAGGGGACTTAAAAAGAACCACATGGCAGGACACTCTACTCTCTAGGTCCTCTCCAGTGGGACAAAACCCTGGGCTCCTCCCCCAACTCCCTCAGCTTTTCTAGCCAGCCAGCAGGAGTTCTCTGCAGCCAGGCTTCCCCCAATCACAAACAACCAAAAAAAGCCCAGGGTCAGATGGTTTTAGTACAGATTTCTACCAGAACTTTCAAGAAGAACTAATAGCTATACTCCTCAAAGTGTTCCACATAATATAAACAGAAGGGACATTGTCAAACTCTTTTTATGAAGCTACAGTTACCCTGATACCAAAACCACACAAAGACTCAACCAAGAAAGAGAATTACAGACCAATCTCACTTATGATGCAAAAATACTCAATAAAATACTGGCAAACCGAATCTAAGAACACATCAAAAAAATCATCTACCATGATCAAGTCAGCTTCATCCCAGAGATGCAGAACTGGTTCAACATACGAAAATCTATCAATGTAATCCATCATATAAATAAACAGAAAGAAAAAAAAACCATATGATCATTTCATTAGATGCTGAAAAAGTATTTGACAAAATCTAACACCCTTTCATGATAAAGGTCTTGGAGATATCAGGGATACAAAAAATATATCTAAATATAATAAAAGCAATATATAGCAAGCCAACAGCTAACATCAAATTAAATAGAGAGAAATTTAAAGCGATTCCACTAAAATCAGGAACAAGTCAAGGCTGTCTACTCTCTCCATATCTCTTCAACATAGTTCTTGAAGTTCTAGCAATAGTAATAAGTCAACAAAAGGAGATCAAGGTGATTC